CACAGGTAAGTTTAAAAGAATCACTTCAAGCCTAAACACCGAAATCATAAAAAGCCTTATGAAATCATAATATTCCTTTAATAAAAGCAGCCATAATAACTATTATTATTCGACGAGGCTGATGAAACCATTACGTTTGTTATTTTAAACAAACATGAGTACCACTCAAAATTACTGGTCATTTTAGAGGATCACAATAAATTTTAAAATGTTAACGAATAACACCACCTCCCAACTTAAAAACCATATCAATAAAATTATTAGTGCTAACAATTTTGAAACAGGATCCTATAACCTTCAAAAGGTAATAATTAACCTGGCTACCTTTATGGAAATGTAAGAATCCATAAAAAAGATCATCCCCTCCGACCTATCATTACTCAAACACCTACACCAGACCCATAACAAATTAATTACTCCCAAGAAAATATTGTATTAACTCCACAAAGTAATTTTTAAAATTTCTTCATACTGTAAAACTAAACAACCAAAATAATCGAATCTTTAGATTTACAAAATTAATTTACTAATGGCCTGCTCCATGAAACGATCGACATCATTGTCCGTGATGTATACAATCACATTTCTCTCCCACCCATCAATATTAAACCCACTATTTAAATAAATATCTATATATTATTAACTTGTACCACTCAAGTAACCTTTCATGACAGACTAGGCAATATTTGTACTCAAAATAGCCGGTACCTCGATGGGATCTCCTTTAGGCACCATTTTTTAAAATTATTATATGGCATATTTAGTTAATAAAATACTTAATGATACTAATAAATCCCCTATATATGTAAGATACATAAATGACATTTTCATTTTAGATAAAAATATTAATCAAATTATACAACTTAAAAACAAATTTGAAAGTCACTCCGTTCTCGAATTTATACTAGAACTCAACATTAATAATAAAATTCCATTTCTTGATGTACTTATTTATTTTAGTACACATAAATTTACTACTTCTCTATATAAGAAACCCACTAGCATAAAACCTTGTCTCTTTAATTATAATAATGGATGCCACCAAAGTTGACTGCTTAAAAAAAAATAATCCAACGCACACAAATGATACCTTCTTCCAAAACGATATTCTATAAATAATTACATAACATCAAATACTCGTTAATAATGGATTTCCTAATTCCGTCATTGAACAACAAATTAAAATGTATCTCAATAAACTTAATAATACCACTAACATATCTGATAATATTAATAATAATTGTAAGCTTAATATGGTACGTCAAAGTAAACATAATATTATTAACTTGTAACCAAATGCATAATAATTACAAGCATGATAAAACAACACTCAAGAACGTAATAGGTAGAAATGTTAAACCTATTATTAATAATAAACTTAAGCTCATCATATATTATAAACAATTTAAAACAATTGATCGCATAATCTTTAATAATCCTACAACCACATAACTAAATCCTCTTCAATGTAGTGTATTAATTTACATGTCCGTTCAGAGATTGGATGTCAGATACTAATAATAAATCCACTATACATATACACTGCGTGCCAAATTATTATCAAGATAACGTTTTTTTCTAATATTTTAAAAACCATCCAATCAATTCACACAAGATTTTCACACAATATTGGCAACACTAACCTACGCAATCACTGAAATTTTCATACTGATGTGTGCAATGTAAACAAACTGGCGCCATATTTGTTATCGGCACGGTGATTTGAGCGTGCCAAATTATTAAAAAAGTATAAGAATTTACTGAAAAGATGGGCCGTAAAAGCAGTTTAAGTGATGCTGAAAAGAAAACTATCACCTCAGAACTCTCAAAAGGTAAATCTACCCTAGAAATTTCTAAAATGATTGGGAGGTGTCATCAAACAGTGAAAAAGTTCACCGCCAACCCTACACAAGTACGCAAAAGGGCAGATAAAGGCAAGCCAAGGGTTATTTCACGTCGTCTCATGCCACGACTTAAATAAGAGGCCACGAAGAACCCTGGACTTACCGGTCAAGAGCTTTTCAGCTTTTCAGAATTGGGGATCCTACTGTGTCTAAAAGTACTCGTTGTCCGTATCTGAGGGAAATAGTAACAACAGTCAAACCTGTATCGAAGCCTCCGTTGACGAGAAATCACATTCAAAATCGATTGAAATGGGCCGAGGACAATATGAAGATTGACTTCTCTAAAGTTTTGTTCACAGACGAAACTCGAGCAACACTTGATGGGCCAGATAGATGGTGCAAAGGCTGGGTAATGAACGGACAGAATCGCCATCAGCGTTTGAGACACCAACAAGGCGGTGGAGGCATAATGATCTGGGGTGGTATTATTGGAAAAACATTAGTGGGCCCATGGAGAGTACCAGATGGCGTCAAAATGACTGCTGATGCATACATAGTGTTTATGAAGGAACATCTTGAACCGTGGATGAAAAGGCAAAGAGTTGCCTTCAGAAGGGCCATTGTTTTTATGCAAGATAATGCTCCCTCACATGCTGCTCACAAGGCTACTGAATATTTGAAACAGTTAGGCTTCGATGGACCTCGAAAAATGAAGTGTCCAGCAAATTTTCCCGCATTGGAACCCAATCGAAAACCTTTGGAACATCATGAAGCGAAGACTGTACGCTAATGGACGACATTTCAGAAGCAATGACGAGTTGTGTGAAGCAATTTTTGACATATCTCGTGGAATTACAGCAGATGACATCCTACAATTGACAAATTCTATGGATCGTCGTCTTCTTCAAGTAATTTCAAAATAGGGAAAGCACATTCCCTATTAATTTGTTTAAAACGGTTCCTTTCTTTGTATGTTATTATTTGTTTGATTATCTTATTTATTAGCTTCTTTTGATCATAAACATTCACGTGCAACATTAATAAACGTTTTGTTTGCTCAATTCTGGGAATTTTACTAAACGTTTCTAATAGTTTGGCACGCTCAAATCACCGTCCTGATAACAAATATGGCGCCAGTTTGTTTACATTGCGCAGATCAGTACGAAAACGTCAGTGATTGCGCAGGTCCGTGTTGCCAACAATGCGTGAAAATTTTGTGTGAATTGATTTGAAATATTAGAAAAAAGTTATCTCGATAATAATTTGTCACGCAGTGTATATTAGTTTTACTACAACCACGCTCTCTCGTAGACTTACCTATCACCTTACTGAACTTATTTCCATTAAACAACATTTCTTAATAAAACGTAGCCATGTAGATAATATTAGACAGATATTATTTGATAACGCAACAATACTCACACATACACATATTAAAAAATAAATCTTGATATATTGAAGACCATCTGCATTAAAACAAAGTAAGACACATTCAACTAAATTACATTTCAAACCAGTCACAACATATTACAATGCATTTAAACACATAGTCCTGTTGATAATATTTCTTTCTCTCACGTGATCATGTATGACGTCATAGAACCGCATTAAGATTTTACACCCTGCGTCTGTAATTCCGCGATCGTTATGGCCGAATAGCAAACTTCTATGTAAACTAAACAGTATGGCATCTCTGTTTTAATATCTATATAACAACTCTGATGATGGCTCATGTGAGTCGAAAGGTTAGATTAATGAACAGAACAAAAAATATTTAAATGTTGGACTGTTTTTGTCATTATTTTCTACCGAAATTAAAACCACCGTATGAAACTTAGATTGTCTTGTAATAAAACAAGACATTCGTTGTCTCTTATATTTAACAAACAATATATTTTTGAATAACGTATGTATATATATATAAATATATATCTTCATATATATATATATATAAATATATATCTTCACATATATATATATATATATATATATATATATATATATATATAAAGATGGAAATTCTCATAATGGTATTTTCAATAAACTGTGCTTGTTAGAAACATGTATGTTGTTGCATTACGTAGACCGATTAATAATATTTTTTCTGAACAGGTGGCGCGGTTGTCATCATTAACAAAATGGCCTTTATTTATTTTAAATCAGGTAGAGATCCTATACTCAACCTGTATACGTGTATGCGTAGTGCGAAGATAATACGACTGTTCACAGCTTTTGTTCAATATTTTCATTAAAATTGTTTTAAATAAAAACCTCTGGCGACGCTATTGTTCCCTTCATGAGCGAAACCTTTTCAAGAAGCCACTTCAGATTCTTTACTGGAAGGAAAAGAATGATTGTCTTCAAGTGTTCGAATAACCCATGAATCTGTCGGTATTGTTCAAAGTTCGCTTATTTATTCCATTTAAGAATACAAAAATGTTTCTCATCATTTCTGTCCAATTCTAAAGCTTTATTTCCAGCCTTTACTTTGTTATTAATTTTTCGTTTTTCATCATTGCTCTCCTATCGGTTTCTATGCAATAATTGTGCGATGTCTCCCCAATTTCATACACATACGCTTGCACGCTTCATTGACAAAAGAGGGGAAAAGTTAAGCTTGTGTTACGGCAATCTTTTTCACTTGGTGGAAATCCTTTCTTTGAAAATCACGACTCTGAATCTTGTGTCTTTGTTAAGTATCGCTTTTATGATAATTGTTTATTGATTTTTTGTCAATATATTATGACTTACTAGAATTATTCGAACAATATCATCTTCATTGTTATAGCCATTATTATAGCTTCGACCAATACCATCTGCCCGTCTTCAGGTGACAATTATTCTAAATGAAATAAGATACAATTTGTGTTGAAAATGGTCAATTTACATAAGCTAGTACAGAGAGTAATTAATGAAGAAGTCTGGGGTTCAGACTTGAGACTTCCTGAACAGGTTGGAGGGTTGAGTGACTGGGAAGAGGGACATGAAATACCTCTTTCCAAACTCCGAGAAATGTCAAGGCATGAACAAAGGTTAGAGGTTGAGCCAGAGTCACCCCTTATGAACAGACTGAGAGGAGCAGGAATTTTCCAAACCCAACAACGGTCAATGGATGAAGAAAGGTTATTTAAGTAGAGGGGCGCGGAGCACCGAATATCAATACGAAATACGGTTCTGAATGAGTAGATGGATGGGCTCGGTGCGCAACGACGTCGGGCTCGTTGAAAACCCTTCACAGCAACGAACAGTAGGGTTGGTCGGAGAGGATAATGAATACGCATCATGGATGAATAAAATTTGAATGTTGATGCTGCCGTTCAAAAATAAAGATATGATAATGATATACGATTCTTTGGGGCGAATGCACCGCACGTACCTGAACCAATGGCACTGTTGAAGGCTGATTAAAAAAGGAAAGGTTGAAGATGGGGATCAAAAGTTTCCTTAGTGGCAAGATATCGAATCGAGGCAATAAAATAAACCTTTAAATTCAGCTAGGACAAAATTTATGATTAATGACAAAAGGAGAATGAAATATAACAATGATGCTTTGGGAATATGTACTTAAGATAAGTCCTATATATATGACAAATAAAACAGACTATATATCATTTAATATGTTTAAAAAGAAAATAATAAATGATTAAAAAATTGCCAGGTCGAGATACTGACAAACATTGTGTTGCCACAAGTTATCGGATAATGGAGTTTGGGTTGAGGCCGCAGAAAAAACCGATTAATCTGTCTATAGTATATAGAACAGAAGAGAGAAGAGAAGCAGAAGAAATTAAAGATTTAAGAAAAAAATAAAAAAAAGAAGATTTAATTTGTAAGACGGTGACAAGACCTATATAAAAACGTTTTTTTAAAAAAAGCTCTTGATATTTGAGAAGCTACCACTGGGTAGCTGAACATTTAGGATATCCCATCCCTCTCCCTATCTCCATATTACCAGACTGAAGAGAAATACAAAGAAAAGGACACAATTGTAGACATAGTTGAAAAATGCCTAGGTAATTGCGCAGAATTGTGCGACGCGGTAATGAGTGAATTCCCTAAAGTTGCTCTAGTAAAGATGCCAGAGTTATTAAAACCGATAAAAAGGATTGATATGGATCGATTGAAGGGCAAGTTAAATGTTTTGGGAAGAGGAAGTATAGTTTAGATAGACAGTAAGAGGATAGTGTTAAATTGGTCGGAAATGTGGCACCATGTTGACCATTTTGGAAAAATTATTAAAACATATGGAACTAAAGAAATTATAGAAAGAAATCGGTTAATGATGTTTTGGGATCATTCAACGACACAAGGCTAAAATTCGATCTTTACCCAAACAATCAAATATCGACAAAGAAATAAAAATGAAAACGAATTTTTCAAAGTTTAGAAATGGAGACGGCACCTGTTGAAATGGAACCAATATTTATATGAAGACGAACTAAAACATATATATGCGGAGAGAAGATGAAATATAGGAAATAAGAACAAACCATAAAAACAATACATTAAACATAATGAGAAAATATGAAAAATTTGTATGAAAAATAAAAAAAAAAGATAAAAAGAAATATAAATAAAAAAGAAGGAGAAAGACTTTGATAAACTTTACATGAATAGAAAAAAGAAAAAAAAGACTTTTATAGAAATATTGCATGATATATAGAAACGGTGCATGAAAATTATTCCGTTTCTGTTAGTACACAAATGAATAGATATTCAAATAAATAGTATACTAGTACAATGATGGTTTGAGATGTCAGTTACTAGTAAATGACAGGAAAGGTATGTGCGGAATGTGATTTGTCGTTGCCGCGGTAAAACGGAAGAAAATATTGTTAAATTATAAGAAAGTGTTATGTACTGTCGGACATTGAAGGGAGAAGGCTTAATACTAAAAAGCCCTGGGAAGAATAGAGGATTTAATTCACACATAAACGACGTGAATTGTATGTCGAAACAGTTTGAACAATGGAAAAATGAACCAGATTTAGGGGGAAGTACTGATTGACACACAGGTGCAAAAAAAAGCAAAAATGCGAAAATTTCAAAAAAATAAACAACGAATTCAGGAGTTGATTCACCTGATCGAAAGTTGAAATACCTGATGAAATTGCGGAAAACCCAATAAATTCAAGTAGTTAAAAGAAGGATTTACTAGAAAAAAAGAAAAAAAATAAATGAGGAATTAGTAAAACAAAAGAAAAAAGAAATCAGAAAAAAGAAAGAAAGATAAAAAAGAGAAAAGACTAAAAAGAAGAATTGAAGAATTTACAAATGAAAATGGGAAAAGAAATTGAATAGAGAAAACAAAAGAAGAAAGATTAAAAAAAAAGAACAAGAAGATTTTGAAAAAAAAAAGGATAGAGAAAGAAGAAGAAAAGAGAAGAAAAAGAAAGAAAGAAGAAAAAGGAATAAGAATTAGAAAATTTAAGAGAGGCAAAAGAGAAAATAAAAGACTAAAGAAGAGGGAAAAAAACAGAAGAAAGAAGAGAAGCAGAGAAGAGAAGAGAGACAGAAGAGAGAAGAAAAAGAGAATCAGAAGAGAGAAGAGAGATATAGCTTTATAGGAGAAGAGAAAAGATAGAAAAAAGAAAAGAAAGAGAAAGTCAGAAAAGGAAGGGAAAGAAGAGGGAAGAAAGAATAAGAGAGAGAAATTTCTATAGAAAGGGAAACAATGGAAGAGAAGAGTAAAAAAAGAAAAAAGAAACAAAAGAAAGGAGAGAAGCAAGAAGAAGAAGAAGAAAAAGAAAAAAAATGAGAGAAAGAAAGTGAGAGAAAGAAGAAAAGAGAAGGAAAGGGAAGAAAAGAAAGAAGAGAAGAAAAAAAAAAGGGAAAAGAATAAAAAAGAGGGCAGAAGAGAGAAAAGAAAAAGAAGAGGGAAAAAAAAGATGAAAAAAAAGCAGTAAAAAAGAGAGAAAAAAGAGAAGGGAAATCAGAAGATGGAAGAGACAAGTAGAGAAGAGAAATTAAGATTGAAAAGAAAAAAGAGAGAAGAGTAGCAGAAGAGGGAAGGGAAGCAGAAGATGGAAGAGAAGCAGAAGAGGGAAGGGAAGCAGAAGATGGAAGAGAAGCAGAATAGAGAAAAGAGGCAGAAGAGTGAAGATAGGCAGAAGAGAGAAAAGAAGAAGAAGAGAGAAGAGAAGCAGAATAGAGAAGAGAAGCAGAATAGAGAAGAGAAGCAGAAGAGAGGCAGAGGAGGAATGAAAGAAGAGAGAAGAGAAAATTAAGAGAGAAAGAAGGAGAAGAGAATAGAAGAGGGAAGAAGAAGGAAGAAGAAGAATGAAAAGAGAAGCAGAAGAAGAAAAAATGATGATTTAAAAAAGAGAGAAGAGAAGGAGAAGAGAGGCAGAAGTAAAGCAGAAGAGAGAAGAGAAGGGGAAGAAAAGCATAGAGAAAAGAAGGAAGAGAGAAGTGAATCAAAAGAAGAGGAGAGAAGGTTAAAAGAAAAGAGAGAAGAGAACCGGTTTTAAAGAGAAAAAAGAATTTTTATTAAAAGAGAGAAAAGAAAAAAAAAGGCATAAAAAGAAGAGAATTTAAAAAGAAAAAGAAAAGAAAGAGGAGAGAAGGAGAAGAGAGACAGAAGAGAGAAGAGAAGAATGAAGAGAGGCAGAAGAGAGAAGAGAAGCAGAAGAGAGAAGAGAAGGGGAAGAGAGGCAGGAGAGAGAAGAGAGGCAGAAGAGAGAAGTGAATCAGAAGAGAGGAGAGAAGGAGAAGATTCAATTAGAATGTTTAGAAGAAAAGATTCTTGAAGAGAGGAGAATCGTAGAAAAGAGAAATAGAGAGAAGAAAGGGAAGAGAAAGTGAAAGAGAAAGAGAGGCAGAAGAGAGAAGGATAAAGAAGAAGAGGAGAGAAGAAGAATAGACAGAAGAGAGAAGAGAAGAATGAATCATATTCAGAAGAGAAAAGAGAAGAAAGAAGAAAGAAGAGAAGGGAAGAGAGGCAAGGAGAGAGAAGATTTTAAAGAAGAGATTTTAGAATCAGAAGAAGAAAAAGAGAAGGAGAAGAAGGACAGAAGAGAGAAGAGAATAAGGAAAGAGACAGAAGAAAGAGAGAGCCATAGAAAAAAAGATAGTAAAGGGAGATCTTAAAGAGAAAAACAAGAGAATTATCAGAAAGAGACGAGAATCAGAAGAGAGACAAGAGCCAGAAGAGAGAAGAGAAGCAGAAGAGACGGAGACAAGACCAGACACAAGAGAGAGGCTTACGTGATTATCTGCCGACGAAGCCTCTGACTTCGACCTTGTGCCGGATTTTACCAAAAATGGAAACTAAACATTACCAGGCCAAAAATAATATCACTCCCAATTCAGACGCGGGTTGGGTTGATAATTTATTGCATGGGGACTCTGATATAAACCAATTATTGTACGGAGGGCTGATATAAAAGCAGTATTTATCTTTGTTCAATTTATTCAAGTGTTATTTTTCCCCCTGTACGCCATCGCTCTGCTTGGACCAGCCCAACACGAAGATATCTGTGACGATTCTATCTTGACTGCCTTATGATCAACCTTAAATCACAACGTGGGATAAGGTTAGCTCTGGATTGAAGTGGTCACTTCAGCGACCAGACGCGGTGTTGGATGTATTTGACGACCGGGAAGGGTGTTGGACGATTACATTTGGTGACGTGACCAAGGATGGACCCTGAGGATAACATATTTGAAAGAATTGAAATGATTCCACTTTCATATCTGTTGCGATAATAAAAACAAAAAAAAAACTATTTGAAATGGGGTGAGCTGGTTATCTGGCAAAACTGTTCCTCTTTTATTTATCTTGAATTCGTCCCTGTCTGTATAACTCTTTTATATGTCGTGTACCTTCAGGTAGTTGGCGATCATTACTCTCCACAATGTTCTCTGCTTTATGTCTCTTAGTAAGTTTGATCTCTCTCCTAATCCCTTTTCTGTTATCCAGGACACATGGCACAGTGGATAAAGGCGTTAGTTAGATCCAGTGACTGGACCCAAAGAGTGTGAGTTCAATACCTGGTTAAGGCGGTGGAGAACTTGGAGAGATAACTGACAACTGACATCCATTAAACATGGCATGTGGAACTAGAAGAGTCTACTCCAATGAACGAAATAAAGGGTTCAGTTCGACATTCTAACCACCTGAACAAGGCCGGAGAGTACAACGGCCGAAACATTGTAATAAATATAGATAGTAAATATGAGGACAATATTTCAAATAATGTAAATAGTGTACATAATACCTCATCTCAGAAATATAGACATATACTGAAAGGCCGAAACGTTGTAATAAATATGGCGACAAAGATGATGACAATAGTCCGAATAATGTAAATAGTGTACACAATACCTCATCTCAGAAATGTAGACAGAATAAAGACTTAGTAATACAAGTGTTAGCAATTAACCCATAGATGCGGGAAGAAGAGGTATATTTATAGCGTTCTCAAGGGCATCTATTGAACCTAACAGAAATAGGAACTCTGCTCTCTGTTAATTTTTCTTAGCCCTTATCTATTACACCATCCACACATCTAAGCTTACAGCACTTGGTATTCCCAAGCGGACATCCATCGTTAACTGGAAGTTGCCGATCGTACGGGAAGCGGTGTTTCAATGCCATGTGGCCGTAGGCTCGCATTGACTAATGATGTTGGGATAAAAAGTGATAATATTAAATGGGAAAGACTAGTAATAAAATAATAGTACGAAAGAACTGTGTACCGACCCCGAGTGTCGGGATAACAACCCCCCACTCACAAAAAAAAAAACAAAAAAGAATCATCACACTTATACTCAAATATAATAAAAACTAATGATAAAATATTAGTAAAAATGGAGAATACATTCTTTCAGCGTAATCGGATAAAAACCGGTAATAATTATATGTCTCTATATAAAACAGGGGATGTCTGTTTGTCTGTCTGTATATCTGTCTGTCTGTCAGTGTGATACCTTTTCACTCAAGATCCTTCCAACCAATTTTGACAAAACTTGGTACATATATTGTACGATGTAAGAGATATGTTCTTAGCGTAAAAAAATCGATAATTTAAAAAAAAAAAAATAAAATCGATAAAGCCTATTAAAAATCGATAAATTCAAATCTTTTCCTCCGATTTCGTTCAAACTCGTAGGTTACTTACATCATGACGAGTTCAACAATACCTCATTTTTATTTCTACGCCACTGTTTTTAGCGAAAAACAGCGAAAAACGAAAAATCCATTTCAACGCAAATTTTCAACTAAAAACTTCATTAATTTTCAGTCAATCTAATACAAACTTCACTCAATTGTAGCCAACAAGAAGTTGATTGCTTAACAGTCATTTAACTTGATAATTGAGTTCGCACATATAGTGAAAACCCGCGTAAATAGCAAAAAATGGCGATTTTCTAGTTTCTTAATTACTTTTCGTTGATCGTTCAACCAATTTTCATCAAACTTAACAATTGCATTATAAATGTATCCTCTTTCACATCCCTGATGGCACAATGACAAATTGAATGTAAAAATCTCCAAAATAATTGTAGTCTGAAGCGGGTCTTCATGTTGCCTGTTTTACCCCTTCATGTCCTCGGCTATCTTCGATTGAATAAATACAGACTCCTTCTGTTATGTCAGTAGATGAATTAATTCGAGATGTTTTTTTTTTAAATGAAAGTACTTCAAAGTAACTGAAGAAGATAAACTCTGTTACATCTAGACACGATCCTGCTTTGCTCTATTCTAATTAAATACTTTTTCTGATTAACAAGCTGGGTATGGCTGCTAGTATAAAATAAAAATGATCTCATAATATAGGTCGTCGTTGACTGTTCGGCTTTACAACCACTATTACGAAGTGGTATGTCTAGCCAACGATCCACAACCAAGCACCAGCAGCCAATAAGTTGTTTTGTATCTATATGTATTTTATTATGTTTTGCAGATAAAATATTTTCTGTATTTTCGCACCTGTAGTTTTTTTTGTATGTTTAACAACTATTAAACCAACTGAACTGTAGTATGCAGTGTTTGACTTCAACCTGACGAACGTAAAAATAAGAAAAGAAAAGAATGTGGAGAGAGACGATACAAATCGTATCGAACGGAAAGAAACCGTAAAAATTATATTAAAAATAGAATAAAGAAAAGATAAAAAGGTTGCTAAATTAATTACAAGCCGATTTACGACCAAATCGATTTATGTCGTAAAAAATAGTGGTCGTAAGTCGATGATGACCAACAATGAAGAATGCATTGACTGATAGCTTTGGGATAAAAAGTAATAGTATTCAGATGAAATAAAAGTAATAAAAATCTAATAGTAATCATGACGAATGTATTGAAACAATGTTGGAATAAAAAGCAACAATAATTATATAGAATAAAACTAATAATTATAAGAGTAGTAATAATAAAGGATATAATGTCTAAGAAATTTAAAATAAAAAGCAATATTCCAAAGATGGAATAAAACTATTATTAAAATGATACTAATAATGAGTTATTTAGTTAAAGTGTGTATAAAAAAGCATCAATAATGAAATAAGGAAAACAAAAGTATTTTGTCTTTTATTTACGCTCTAATTTTATTCCTGAATATTTTTCCGATATTTTCTCTTGAGTTTTCTTCTTTGAAATTCCCTCGTCTGTTCTTACTTCCTTCTTTTTAAAGACTTCCAATAATTTTCCTTCCTTTTGCAATTATATATTTATTTGAAATTCATAACTGTTTCTTCTATCGTTATTTGTTTTTGCTGTTTGTTTTTAATACGACTCCTCGTCCCGCGTGTTCCTTCCTGTAAGCCTAAAACCGCCACAAAGAAAAGAGATTTAGTTTTCTAATCACCTCCCAAACGTTGTTCTTTACAAAAAGAACTGAAACTACCATTTTTTTTCCTTTACTGGTTTTCAAACAGCTGTTATAAATATCAACAATTCTTCCCAACTTACCCACTTCAAAATGGTCCAATCAAATTCCATTTAAGTAGTTTTATTCTGTAATTCCAATTGTATGCGGACAAGAGGATGAAGAATTCTTCAGGAATTTTCTTTAATCAATGCCAAAAGAAAAATAATTAGAAAAATAAAAATATCTATTTATTCTTTCGGATTTTTTCTTATTTTGTTTCTATCGATTCTTCTAAGATTTTCCACATCTGGAAAAATGATGAAGTTTCCCCCCCCACTACCTGCAGTCCCATGCATGTTTCGCGAGAATTATTTTTTAAGCGTAACATAGTCTGACACAAGGCCAGCAGAGTAAGAGAATCTAATTCCGCAATTCTTCTTCTTTCATGCTCCGTGTCGCTCCAGAACAACATGGCTCCCGACAATTTCTTGTCCCTTGTAGCTTGAAGCAAATTTAACTGCTTCACATCTCACATTGTTTCTTCGATTCGCATAAACCTGTTTAATAGCTTCCCCATTTCTTCGAATAAACTACTTAAGTCGGATCTTCGCTATTGTTACACTTTGCTTATCCTGCCATAATGAAGTGTGAGACAAGTCTGCTAAAAATTATTCTATAGTAAATAACTTATTTGTTCATATATAAGTAATTGGTGAGCTTTGTTTGACACAAGTTTTAGCCTCACTTATTTAGGGTGAATGTGCGTCTCTTCGAGTATTTATTTTACAGTTGTCTGGGTCCTATATAGACAATGATCTCAAATAAAGGTCAACTACTACAATATGCTAAAAACATATTTACCTCAGAACTCTAGTTATTATTTACTCGCGTACTATTGTCCTCATTTTTGATATTGTTATCATAACGCTTCAACCGTTGTTCCTTCCGGCCTTCATCAGGTTAGTGCCGATCTGAGTAAACTACAGGGATTTTCGATCTGAACCTTTTTATTTCATCTACCAGGGATTGAACTCGTAATTAATGTCATCAAATTCACGAACCAACTATTGTCTCGTGGGGCAATTCTGAGTGGAGCCTTAAACTTAACCTACCTGTTGATGACTCTTTTTCTACTAATTGCGCTTGACTGCAATCTCGCTTTCTTGCTGCAGCTACTGTTTTGCGGCCTTGCTGTCACATCTCTCTGTTGAGGAATAACTTATCTTATTTCTATGTTCGGCGTACTATGGGGGCCTTCATAGACAAATTATACGCTCCCAATCCCCTGATTTATAATTAAGATCAACTTAACATCTTTTTCTTCTATATCCCCTGATCCTTTAGGACGTCGGGCCCTCATGGTTTTGTATCGTTTGCTGCTCTTAGTAAAGTTTGTGTCTTTTCTATCTCTCCTAATCCCTGTTTTGTCAACTATTTGTACACGCTCATGAGGTAGGGTAAGCACTACTATTGGACAAAATTAACCCTGGAGGGACCTATTCAGCTTTCATAGTATTCGTTCACTAAGTCTTTTTATAACTGATCCATACACCGAGTTATATATATATCTTTCTTTGTTCGCACAGCTTATACTTACAAACGCTTTATCATCGATATTGTGAAATTTCTTCTAGCATATATATATATATATATATATATATATATATATATATATATATATATATACAGTGTAACCCGGATATCAGAGACCCGGATATAAGAGAAACCCGGATATAAGAGAAATTTTCTCTGGTCACAAATTAGAGCCTGTGTTAATGTATATAAAATAGACCAAACCCGGATATAAGAGAAACCCGGATATAAGAGACTTCTTCTCCGGTCCCGACAACTCTCTTATATCCGGGTTACACTGTATACATACATATACACACACACACATATATATATATATATATATATATATATATATGTGTGTGTGTGTGTGTGTGTGTGTGTGTGCGTGCGTGTTTATATATGTGTGTGTATGCGTGTTTATACGTACATATATGCATGTATGTAAATAAGTATGTGTGTGCATATATGTGTTTTTGTATATATGTACCTGCTTATCCAAAGCAGATACCCCTCAACCACACTCGCGGACATAGAATCATCCTCAATCCATTAATAGGATACCCGGCAAGACAATGGCGCATTTGTAACAGAGTGTGAAGATTAAACAGTGGACATACTAGGAACATAAAACTAATCCAGATAATCAGGTCTCGTACTCCATGTGTAATGACATGCAGGTGTTTTTTGTTACATGGCTTAAACGGTTCTGACCATGAGACCCCGGGTTCGAATCTCCCTCTTATCGATCCGTCAGGAAGGTGACATCTTGATGTTATCATTCATGTTTGTAGCATTGGTTTTCAGGCACGTTTGGCAAGTGCCTGAAAATCATACAAATTGATACAAATGAGTGAGATTCGGTAGAAGGAACTCTTTGGGTAGCCGTCGATGGTTGGGCTAGAACGAAGTCACAAGTCATCGTGACCGAGCTTTTTGAGTGTTCTGGCCTTGTTCAGACTATAGATCACCTCAGATAATGCGCTACCTCTAACTGTAACAAATATGCGCTCAGCTAGGTCACAGTATAAGTCGCAGATGGGCTCTTTGGGTGTTAAACAAACACAGATGTGCCTGGACAAGTGTCTGCAACAGGGATTGGCTAGGCACGGTCACGAATTGACTTCCACAAACATACAAACACATAATAATGATAACATTCCTAGTGTCCCTACAAGGAAGTATTTGGCGTTCATCGATCGAGCAGCCTGTACTGTTTTCTCATGAAATTTATACAATCATTCTCTTAAAACAAGACCAGTAGCTGTTATCTCATTTTCTAGTATTGATGGAGGCTTCCCTCATGATCTTTTTTTTGAAGTAGTGTATAATGTCAACATCTTCTGTCAATATTTGCTCTTCGTGTTAGATGTGACATACATTTTAGTTTTTGCTGTTGCTGAAATCTTCGATGGTTTTTGGCTATTTTGTACAGTTCTTTGTGATTCTTCTTAAGCCCAGAATGTTCGAAAGCCCAAGATGATTTTTTTTCAATATATATGTATATATATATATGTATATATATATATTATTTTGTTTTTAGTAAAATCCGGTAGCATCAGAGATGAAAAAATGCGAGTCGAAATAAGTATCTTTTTTCTTTATCTTCTTTTTGGAAATTTAATTTAATTTTTTCGTCTCGGATGCTACCGAATTTTACTAAAAACAAAATAATTTCCATGCCTGAGGATGACTGAATGTGCAGTTGAAAGTACTTGCGTATTAAAAAAAAGCTATCTCAATCTCTCTACCTTTTTCTCTCTCTTTTCTATCTACGTGTGAACGGAGCGATTAATGGGTGTTCTGTCAACGTAACTCTAGAGTCGAGATGCTGAAGCTAACATAAATCAGCTAATTTTATATTTGTATTAATCATATATATATATATATATATATATATATATATATATATATATATATATATATATATATATGCATGTTTCATTAAAACTACAGACAAGGTACTACAGTTAAATTTATATTTAATTTTTCTTGTGTTCGCACAAGAGCTTTCTTTTTGTGGACACAGAGAGTGTAGAAACTGTTCCAATGTCCTATAATTTCGAGCACTTTCGGCTGTGGTAAATAGAACATTTGAACGGTTTCTACACTCTCTGTGTTCGAAAAAAGAAAGTTCTTGTGCGAACACAAGAAAAATTAAATAAAAAGCTTAACCGTAATATCTTGTCTGTCGTGTTTTAATGAAACATGCATAAATGTAGGATTTCGGACTAAATACACAATATATAGAAAAATCACGAAGAAAACCTTAAATATTTATTTTGGTTATAATCTATTTCGTAAATATCGAATTTATTCAATATTCAGACCAAAGTCTCTTAGTAGATGGAGACAATAAACCGGACGGGTATATTAGATTGACAGGGTGAAGGGAAAGCAAGAGAGAAGATATGAGAGAAGGAGAGGAAGGAGAAAAATGACGGGTGGAGAGGCACTTTTAAACAGATGAGAGACAGGGAGGTTATAGAAAAAAAAGGGAAGAAAGAGGAAGAAGGAGATGGATAGTAGTAGGCCTAAACCGACTGACCGGGCCATGATTTTTTTTTTTCTTTTAATAATAAAAATAATAATAATAAATACATACATATATATATATATATATATATATATATATATATATATATATATGTGTGTGTGTGTGTGTGTGTGTGTGCGTGTTTGTGTGTGTGCGAGGAGAGAGAGAGAGAGAGAGAGAGAGTAAGGGATAGCGGCTTGGATTGAGGAATCGGTGAGGCGGAGTTCGAATTCCAGTCGAATCAATTACATTCACTTACGGGCTAATACCCTTGGGAAAGATATGGATCGTCTTCTACTCCCTCCAGCTATGGGTAAATAGCAGGACAGACTGGGTTCTATAGCCTTGGATGGCAACTAATCTAGGAGAGGAAGAAATCTGAATTCAAAACCTGCAAAGGGTTGTTTGGGGACCTTGTGGCACGTAGTGCACCAGATCTCTGTATTCGGCCCTTCAAAAATGTGGTTGGTTCTGCACAAAGCCTTCATCACTATAATCAAATCATGTGCAGGTGTCTGGCTGTCGGTTTCTAGGAAGAACTGAGCAGCTTGGCCCTCATATGTCGAATACGACGGAAGAGTCGAATATATATATATGTATATATATATATATATATATATATATATATAGATAGATAGATAGATAGATAGTTTTAAGGTGTGATATATTTATGGGATAAAGTGCTCAATATCAGAGATAGAGCGTATGTAAATATAAATATAAAAGTGGACGCAATCGTCAGTGTTCACTTTCATATATATATATATATATATATATATATATATATATATATATTAAAATTAAATACACATAAACTAAGGTTGAATAGGGACTTGGGTGTTTTAAATCTTTATAAATATTTCAATAGTTAAGCAATTTTTTTAGATATAGTTAAAAATTTTTTTAAACAACATTTAAAATATTGTGACGTCGTCCCCGGGTCGCAGCGCCAACTGTGACGTTCTATCCTGATCTACCACGGCGCCAGTTGTGACGTGGTCGTTCCAGGGTCCTATCCCGGTCACGACACCAGTTGTGACGTCCCTAAACAGCACCAATTGTGACGTCTTCGCCGCGGCGCCAGCTGTTCGCTCCTCGCTGCTCCGTCCGGGTGTCGCTGCTCCAAACGCGTCAGTCGTGTTGTCTCGTACTGTGACGACCAACTGGCTTGGTATCGGTCGCGGCACCCAAATGTGACGTTCTAACCTTTTGGTGATTCGGGTGGGAATCTGGTTAGATTTGATATCAGCCTCGTCGTTCCCAACTCGCTTCCAACGCCTGGTTTCCAAGGTAACTGCACTGATCTCCAGTCTGCCTACCCACGTTGTGAATTGATCTTAGACAGACGAGATCAAACAGGGGTTGGGGCCGTAATGCAAATTGAGTTCAACGGGGGTGATAACACACAAATATGCATAAAAGAAAAATAAAATGAAAACTCAAAAAGTTCAAAGTATCAAAAAAAAGGTAACAAACTTTTTTATGTCTAGTTGTTCGATACATAGGACTGCATCTACCTCCCGACCCGTTCTGTGGATTGTGGCACGTCGCTTTCGCTAGGCAAGTTTTAACGCTTCAAGTTGTCTGCTCTCTAAGAAATTTGTGTTTCGGTGTGTCTTTGGACGAAAGTCGAAAAACTTATTTCTGTGGTCTGGTTCTAAGTCACTCTTCAAACTAATTGTTCTTGGTTGAAGAAGAGTCCAAAATTTTGCGTGAATCTTGGTCAGCTATCTCTGCCGTCCGGGACTGAATTAACTGTCTTCTGCCCGCCAGGGTCGAACGAACTCTTCTCTGACCGCCTGGGTCCGACTGAACTAACTCTGCCCGCCAGGGTCGAACGAACTCGGCACTCAGGGCCAAACGAACTGGCCTCCTCTGCCCGCCAGGGTCGAACGAACTCTTCTCTGCCCGCCTGGGTCCGACTGAACTATTGGGCACTCATCTCTACCGCCAGGGCCGAACGAACTAATTCTGCCCGCTAGGGCCGAACGAACTCTTCTCTGCCCGCCTGGGTCCGACTGAACTACTGGGCACTCATCTCTACCGCCAGGGCCGAACGAACTAATTCTGCCCCCCAGGGACGAATGAACTAACTCTGCCTGCCAGAGTCCGACGAACTAACTCTGCCCGCCAGGGCCGGGCGAACTGATTTCTGTCTGGTGGGGCTTCGTTTTTATTGACGCCGACCACAACCGGGGTGGGTCTGTTGGCGTCGGGGGTTCCTCGATAATTCTAAATACAAATCCACCTCTTTTATTTCTGGTTAGGGATTTTCCACTCTTTTCCATTTTTGGTAACTTTTTTCTCACTCTCACTTTCTCACCATGCTTCTGAGGGGCGTGAACTGCCCTCCCCACTTCTTCGTAGCGGCTTCTCATACTTACACTTTGGATGGGAGCGTCGACAGTTTTCTTCGTGCGTCACGTGACCACTCTCGGCCAATGATGTCTTGGTCGGGTATCTTTCCTTCGTGCGTCATGTGATCACCACTTGACCAATGACGTCTTAGTCGGGCGTGAACAACCCGTGGCTTTTGTTTTGGAAAAAAAATACCTTGCTTAACTAAAAAAATTAATGATCTCTCCTCTTTTTTTTTTCTTTCTTTCAAATCGCCGTTATCATGAACGGATAATGTGACAACTCTTTGTTCAACACGTGGCGTTTGTCAAGCAGTTTATCGGTAATGACATTAGACGGATGGATTTTCCGACATGGTCTAAGAAAGGAATTTTCTCCAGACTTTTTATATATATATATATATATATATATAAATATATATATATTCATTTCCTTTTATGAGTTATTGATAACAAAAATAATTAATTTCCTGTATCATAATTCGATGATGTTTTGTTATAAAATGAATAGAAAGCGTTTAATTTAGTTTTCTTTTTAAAAAATGTCACCCCAAGACGCGATTTCTAAAATCCTATTTAATTATAGTAGTACTATGACTTATTGGAGCCTTATTGAACTTCCCTAGGGCACTATGGGACTTTATGGAACCTTCTAGAACGTTATGGAATTTTCATAACTTTTTGGAGCCTTCTAGAAATTTCTGAATCCTTCTAGAAATTCACGGAAATTTTCTGAGAGTATATAAGTGTGAGCACTTTAAAACCTGGTTGTTATTCAGATAAGGCGAATAGGAAAAGTGTGTTGTATTTATGATCACACACACACACACACACACACACACACACACACACACACACATATATATATATATATATATATATATATATATATTGTATTTCAGAGCATTTCAGCTTCAGGAATCAGCAATGTTGATTGATTTGTTGAATGATCTCCAAGTATTCATATTTTTTTGAAAAAGTGCTTCTACCACTGAAAGAAAGACGAATATTTGGAGAAGGAATCTCATTAGATTTAAAGGTTCGCATAAGAAAGAACTGTTCCACTCGAAGAACAATCGCTGGAAAACAAATGCAGGATGCCACTCAGAATCCAAATTATGTATCTATCCCTTGGAGCATCTATCAAAGGAAGGATGAACGTATGAAGAAAATGTCTAAAGAAACAACAATTTTATAACAAAAAGAAATTTGTCAACTCAAGTCATACACACAAAACTGGATAAAGTGCTGACTACTTACAATGAATGTGTGAAACGACGAAAATATGATTTATTGAATGAAATTTATGACATCACAAAAGAAAATGTTGAATGGCCGTTTAGTGAGAAAAGACGGTTATATCATGTTAAGATCGAAAGCAAAGGACATGTTGAATATATAATTGGAAAGAATGAGAGTTCCAAAGCTATTCCCTCATTCAACAGACAAAAGTTACCTTCGGGTGAACAGTAACAACAGCAACTTCAACTTTTGAATCAGAGACGGAATCAGAGAGCCATTCAGAGAGTTAATATGAAGAGCCCGGAAACTCTGAAGAACAGTCACAAAAACCAAAACTGCAAGCGAATTAGTAATGTCACCAAACTTATCAACCATCAAACAATTAAATGTTTGTCAGCAGTTATCTCAAAAAGGGATTGAAACACCTCCTCAATCTGATTGGGCACCTCGACGAGGTGTTACGGTTAACAAGATTGTCTCACTAGAACAATTCCGACCGAGTTGTGAGTTCGATCCTCACTGGATGCCACATACTTTCAGCCTTGTACCACATCTAAACTACGCTTAGAAAATCATTCGGCACCTCGAGGCGGTGTTACGGTTAACAAGATTGTCTCACTAGAACAATTCCGACCGAGTTGTGAGCTCGATCCTCACTGGGTGCCCCATAATTTCGGCCTTGTACCACATCTAAACTACGCTTAGAAAATCATTCGGCACCTCGAGGTGGTGTTACGGTTAGCAAGATTGACTCGCTAGAACAATTACGACTGAGTAGTGAGTTCGATCCTCACTGGGTGCCCCATACTTTCGGCCATGTTCCACATCTAAACTACGCTTGGAGTATCACCTTCTCAATCTGATATTTACAGATCTACTATTAGAGTAAACTTAAAAAAAAGAAATGAAGTCAACACTACACTTAGAAAATTGGGCTTTGGAATTTGATTGTTAATGGTTTGATGGTCAACAAATATTAAGTGCTTGTTTTATTGAATGACAGAAGAGAAGTTTTGTTAGAAACACCAGATCTAACAGATGGGAAACGGTTACCTTTTTCAAAAGAATAACAGCTATTCTAGATTAATACAATTCATGGAAGAGCATGAAGATAATTATTGCGAAGACTACGAATGTGAACCCTGGAAGCAAGAATGGGATTGCCATTTAGTTACAAAGAACCTGGAAGAAACGCACTTATGTTCTTGATTGAGTGCTTTGCATAGTAATGTATGACGAACTTTAGGAAAAAACACATCGCCCAATATCGAATATCCGTTTATCCGTGAGCTTTTAATTATGAACAGCTCAAGAAGGATTTCAAGAATGGTAAAGAAGACATTTCTGAGAGAGCAGGATGACGTGATAATAAGAAATTTCTATTTCATATAACTCGAGTGTTCCTCTCTTTCGAAGAAACT